ATTATAAATGATAAAGAATTCTAATATAGATATAAAATCGATATTTTTTTGAAAATAGCCTACTATGATCAAAACCAAAAATGCTTGAAATTGCATTTTTAAACATATCTAGGTATTATAAATAACAAAGAATGCTAATATAGATAAAAAATCGATATTTTTTTTGAAAATAGCCTACTATGATCCAAACCAAAAATGCTTGAAATTGCATTTTTAAACATATCTAGGTATTATAAATAACAAAGAATGCTAATATAGATAAAAAATCGGTTTTTTTTTTGAAAATAGCCTACTATGATCAAAACCAAAAATGCTTGAAATTGCATTATAAAACATATCTAGGTATTATAAATAACAAAGAATGCTAATATAGATAAAAAATCGATATTTTTTTTGAAAATAGCCTACTATGATCCAAACTAAAAATGCTTGAAATTGCATTATAAAACATATCTAGGTATTATAAATGATAAAGAATGCTAATATAGATAAAAAATCGATATTTTTTTGAAAATAGCCTACTATGATCAAAACCAAAAATGCTTGAAATTGCATTTTTAAACATATCTAGGTATTATAAATAACAAAGAATGCTAATATAGATAAAAAAATCGATATTTTTTTTGAAAATAGCCTACTATGATCAAAACCAAAAATGCTTGAAATTGCATTATAAAACATATCTAGGTATTATAAATAACAAAGAATGCTAATATAGATAAAAAATTGATATTTTTTTTGAAAATAGCCTACTATGATCAAAACAAAAAATGCTTGAAATTGCATTTTTAAACATATCTAGGTATTATAAATGATAAAGAATTCTAATATAGATATAAAATCGATATTTTTTTGAAAATAGCCTACTATGATCAAAACCAAAAATGCTTTAAATTGTATATAAAACAAATCTATGTATTATAAATGATAAAGAATTCTAATATAGATAAAAAATCGATATTTTTTTTTGAAAATAGCCTACTATGATCAAAACCAAAAATGCTTGAAATTGCATTATAAAACATATCTAGGTATTATAAATAACAAAGAATGCTAATATAGATAAAAAATCGATATTTTTTTTGAAAATAGCCTACTATGATCAAAACCAAAAATGCTTTAAATTGTATATAAAACAAATCTATGTATTATAAATGATAAAGAATTCTAATATAGATAAAAAATCGATATTTTTTTTTGAAAATAGCCTACTATGATCAAAACCAAAAATGCTTGAAATTGCATTATAAAACATATCTAGGTATTATAAATAATAAAGAATGCTAATATAGATAAAAAATTGATATTTTTTTTGAAAATAGCCTACTATGATCAAAACCAAAAATGCTTGAAATTGCATTTTTAAACATATCTAGGTATTATAAATGATAAAGAATTCTAATATAGATAAAAAATTGATATTTTTTTTGAAAATAGCCTACTATGATCAAAACAAAAAATGCTTGAAATTGCATTTTTAAACATATCTAGGTATTATAAATGATAAAGAATTCTAATATAGATATAAAATCGATATTTTTTTGAAAATAGCCTACTATGATCAAAACCAAAAATGCTTTAAATTGTATATAAAACAAATCTATGTATTATAAATGATAAAGAATTCTAATATAGATAAAAAATCGATATTTTTTTTTGAAAATAGCCTACTATGATCAAAACCAAAAATGCTTGAAATTGCATTATAAAACATATCTAGGTATTATAAATAACAAAGAATGCTAATATAGATAAAAAATCGATATTTTTTTTGAAAATAGCCTACTATGATCAAAACCAAAAATGCTTTAAATTGTATATAAAACAAATCTATGTATTATAAATGATAAAGAATTCTAATATAGATAAAAAATCGATATTTTTTTTTGAAAATAGCCTACTATGATCAAAACCAAAAATGCTTGAAATTGCATTATAAAACATATCTAGGTATTATAAATAATAAAGAATGCTAATATAGATAAAAAATTGATATTTTTTTTGAAAATAGCCTACTATGATCAAAACCAAAAATGCTTGAAATTGCATTTTTAAACATATCTAGGTATTATAAATGATAAAGAATTCTAATATAGATAAAAAATCGATATTTTTTTTTGAAAATAGCCTACTATGATCAAAACCAAAAATGCTTGAAATTGCATTATAAAACATATCTAGGTATTATAAATAATAAAGAATGCTAATATAGATAAAAAATTGATATTTTTTTTGAAAATAGCCTACTATGACCAAAACCAAAAATGCCTTAAATTGCATTTTTTAACTTTTTAGCTTCCGCGTGGAACACGGAAGGTGTTTGTTTATGTCCGTCAAATTTTGTCACACAACCTACAGGTCCACCATTTTATCTAAAAGTAATGATTTATATGTCAAAATTTTGCCCTTGTCTTCTAGTAGGGCAGAAATTATGGCGCTTTGCATGAACTTTTTTTTTGAGACCGCAGTGCTTGATGGAATATTTTCACGAAATCTCCATACAAACACTATATTTGCTCTAACTTTTATTAAAGCCTTTAATCAATCAGATTGTAAAATCAGTTTTTCGAGTTTTGCGAAGAGATGGAGCAATATAGCTAAACATGTCCAAAGATGAAAAGTTTGTGCCTGAAATTTCACATCTTCTGCAAAAAAACAGATTTCAAATTTAGATCCGTGCTGCTTTATAGAAGAGCTGAATTGTGTATGGGCAAGGTAGGAACAGCCGTTGCTTCTGAAAAAGCGAAAAACTTTCCTTTCTTCCGAATTTTTTTAAAACAAAAGTTTACTGTGATTTTTATAAAATTAAACTTTTGATGAAAAAAAAATTTAAAAACTTTTATAGAATGTTCGTTAACATCTGATCGATGAAGACTTTTTATGGTAAGAGTTTATAGTCGCTTATGCTGTGACTCGTTAAGCTTTATACCTCCAAACATAAACTGAGCGCAGCTTAGCTGGTTCGTCAAGATTTATGTTTTCAAATTAATTGGTCTTACCACAAGGCTTTTGATGGTACGGTGTGAATATATCCGAATTGGGTTTCTTTCCGATACTCAAATTTTTCGTTTTGTGATATATAAATAAGAACTGTAATCTGACATAAGTCAAACGCGGAAGCTTGTGACTTTCTACGTAAGTCTTTTTTTTGGACAATTAATCTCATCTGATGTATCATTTTCGCTTCGTAAACTCTAATGTTGAGAATTATTGCCAATACAATCTTTTTCCTTGCATTAATTAGTATCAAATTATTGATGAGATATTATCTCATGCTCGTATACTTCCTTGTTCTTCTCATGCGCGTGTACTTTCTTGCTCCTACACTCTCTCTCAATTGTAGATGAAGCTTATAATCAGCTTTTACAACAAAGACTATAAGTAATTGAAAATTAATTAACAAAAGTCCAAAATCCCATTTCTAATGATTAAAAAGCTTCTTAAAATTACTCATCAAATCATTTATTTTTGTGTCTCTAACTATAGATACAGAATCTCTTACCATTGATCGCGTGCTCAATATGTGTGTTCGATTTCACTGAGGTTCGACATTGGCAAGGTGAACTTTAATTACTTAATACTTGAACTGCAATTTTCATGTCATTAGCAGGAAAAACGTTAAAAGCTTTAATTGTCGTAAATATGCTCGAAAGTGGGGAAATGTAATTATTTTACAATTGCGTACACTTCAGTGTTCGATTACCAGAATTGATGATTTAAAAAATTTAGACTCAAAAGAAAATCGTATTTTGTAGTTTAACTTCTAATTGAAATTTTATAAGATTGCATTCAATTCTAATTGACAATTTAATATCCTTCCTATAATGTTTCTTATTATGTGACAATCTTACTGTCTTATTTTCATAATAGAATAGATTAATAAGCTTATGATAATTCTGTTTATGTATCAAATTCAGGCATCGAGAGACATTGAATAAGCATAAAATGTATGTTAATAATAAGAAGAGCATTTGATTGAAATAAGAAAGACATGTGTCATAAGAATCTAACATGACATTCGTCAATATTCATAATTTATAAATAAAATAAAAGATTGCGTAAACTTTGAGGCTTGCAGGCATTTATTAAAAACGTTTTAAAAAATATAAATTTAAAATCAAATTCTGATAAAGTTTTTATATTAAAAATGCATTGAAATTAATTTAATATTTTAGCAGTCGCCAACCCAGTCCCTCCAACTCCAATTTGAATTTTAATTACGAATATAATGAAAAATTAACATATTTTGCAATCAATGTAATTAATTCACACAAAATTGAATTATGTCCTGAAAAATACCAATTAATTGGTTCTTATTATTCATTTTAAATTGCTAAAAACATATGTTAGCTAGTTGAATATAATTTAAATAAAATGAACTTTAATTAAATGCATTAAAATTAAAATGGAAATACAGTTGATATTATTTAAATTAATTATTATTACTATACTAAAAGCATAAAGAGCTAATTATTATAAAATAAAAGGTTCGCAACACGATGTTTGTGAAGTCCAGGATCAGCTCGTAAATTAGAAATTAAAGATTAGCAAATCAATTTTTTTCGGCAACTCTTCAGTATCCCTGCTTTATCTTTTCTTTGTCAACTCCAAGAAGAAATTTCATCAAAGCAGTTATTGAGTTTGTGCACGGAGTTGCAGCGTATCACACTCTTTCAACTCCATATCTAGATCTAAAGATTTTTGATTAGATTAAGTTCAATATTAAGGTTGGTACAACTATACATAGGAGATTGTCAATGAATCTGTAGTTTGTGTCATAAATATTATACCATAAACAACATTTTAAACTAAGATCTAACATGATAAATTGTTGATAGTAGTCAAAGCTTCCAACTTACATTTGAATTAATACTGATACTGAAACAATTCGGTTGAAGATTGAACTATACTGCTATGGATGCATAAAGCTAGAAAATAATGATCTTAGCTATTTTAATAAAAATAAGAGTTGAAATAAGCGGGGGGCAATTTAAAATTCCCAACAAATGGGGAAATGGGAATGGCAAGAGTAAAACAAGAATGGAAAACCTATAAATAGATGTTAATTAAATGATGAGTCGTTAGTTTATTTACAAAAATCAGTTTAAAATACACGGAAAAGTTTAAAATGAATTTGGTGGTAAAATGAGAATAATTTTGAAAATTTTAAATCAAATGAATCGAACTTGAGTGTATTTACAGTTGGGATTAGCGGTCTTGTGTACAGTGTTTACACTTAATTCAGGGATATTAACAGTGCCAAAATATAGAACAATAGCACCATCAGTAACCACAAATGAGGATTCAACAGCAGCATCATCGAAAAAGGACAAGCGTGGCGTGTTTGGCTTTGGTGTGCATGGACATCATGGATATGGTCCACATTACGATGATTATGCACACAATCATCATCATCATAACCATCATTCGCAACCACATATACCACCTTTACCACCCCATCATCCTCCAGCAACACATCCAGTCAATTTAGGTGCTCATTTTCACACAACAGTTACGAAAAAAATTGGAATTCCAATACCTTATCCGTATCCAGTGAAGGTATGTTGCATTATTGCAGTTGTTATGTTTATAAAATTATTGGGAAAGCTGTTGCAAATATGTTTATTAAATTCATAAAGCTTCCCACAAACTCATTATGGACGGTAAATTTCAGGCTCATAAACAATTCATGACAAAAAAACAATCATATCAAAAAGTCATCAAGAATATTTTGTAGAATTAATTTTTAGTGTTTATAAACATTTGTGATAAATAACCTGTTGAATTGACAGGTTAAAGTGGCATGTGTGGGATTTAACATCAAAAAATTTTTTTTTGTGAGCATGACACGAGATTCCTGTGCATAAAATAATTGTTTTTAAACAATATGTTGATGCCTTCCACGTGTGCTTTTATTCATATAAATTTTGTGTCAAACAGCGTCAAATTTTTTAAAAAAATTGATCAAACAAGAATTTTATTTTGTCTTTCCAACTTTGTTACTTACAAAACGTTAATAATCGAAAACCATTTAACCAAGTTTCAATAAATTGTTTTTGAGGCTTTAACAGCAGCAGTTTGATATTTTCAAATGAATTTAATAGTTTACTAAAGTGCCTGGACACACAATTAGAAAATTTTTTATTTTCCAAATTTCTCCCTCATTTTTTATGAAACCTATTGTAATTTTATAAAGCTTATTAAATTTTCAATATGATGGCTAGAAAAGTTTTGGAAAATTGGCAAGTAATATAGTGATTTTGGGTAAAAAACGCATTTCATATATGTAAATTTTTAATGTTTTTCGATTTTCTCAGCAATGACTTTATGAAAAACTTTCAAACTTTACAAACTTATTGCTTATATAAATGTTAATAAGTCGTGTAAATTTCAGAATTTTCTAGTTGTGTGTTCACTCACTTTAAAATTTATAAACAACATTCTATGTGGTTCATTTGTTTACTTAATGTCTGCAATACAATTGATTATAATTCATACTTGACACACAATAATGCCACATGTGAAGGCTTACTTTTAATTATGTGTCGATTGTTTATTGTTTATCAAACATTAGATGAAACTAAAGTCAATCTTTAAATTACAAAACTTAACATTCTTAGAGTTTCTCGACAAACAAGCACTGGTCTTTAGATTTAGGCTTGTCTCAATGCTTAATTTCCAAATATCCTTCAAATTCTAAACATTGAAGTCAAATCGAGAAAGTCAGCAAAGCTCAATCAAGCCTCAAAACCAAATTTCTTACAATAATTTTAAAAGCACATCTCCTCCAAGTAGAAGCTTTAGCTGCACTTATGCAAATGGAAGTAATTTGTTGACACGACTTTTTTTATTCTCTTAACTTCCCATTCAATTTACAAATGCCAACCCAAATGAAATTAAAATTTCCATTGTCTTGATTTCACTTTATTATTTTACTTCCATTTGTGCAAGAAGACGCAGCAAATAAAATTGCTGATGCTTAATTAAGCGACAAAAAAAAAGAGAAGAAGTAAGAAATTAATTACGAAATTGTTTCAGGTGCCAGTTCCAATTTTCAAGCCGTACGCTGTACCTGTCGATAGACCAGTTCCGCACTTTATTCCTCATCCTGTTGTCGTGAATCCACCCATTCATCAACATCATTCACATGGCTGGACACCATTGCATCACAATCATGCACATCCGCATCATAAATGGTAAAATAATAAAGTTGATGACATTAATTCATGCATAATGATGATGTAATAATTTTTTACATAAATCGTGGCTTTTCGAGGGATATCAAAATATTACCTTTGTTACATGATGAATATTAATCATTTCTGATGTGACATTTTCCATCTATCTCATTTATAAAGCTTTTGTCATAAATTAAAGGTTTAATTAAAAATTCTTTTGGTTCTTATATTAATTGGAATTTTTAATTGTTGGTTGAAGCTTTCAGCATGTGTAATCGTAGAATACATTCACATAAATCTTTTCAAGTGGTAAAGTTCTCATGAATTTTGATATTGTGACATAAATGGTAATCTTGGATATGCTTTTGATGATACAAACCCGAGCGGCACAAGGTGGCAGGTGTCAGTCATATGACACCTTTGTGCCGCTCGGGAAACGATCCTTTTTAATTTACGTCATTCGATTATGAATTGTTGAATCTGTACACTAGGAAAATTGGGAGACGAATATGTCTAACCATTGCAGTTTTGAATATGGATCGTCTATCAAGTCAAGTTCGAATCTGTATTTCCCAATTAGTCTAAAATTTGATGTTTTTTCTTCTGTAAAATTCCGATAAGGAATTATCTCTGATTCATTGAATAAATCATCGATTCTAACGCGGATTAGCTTAATTCTAATTATATTATGTTGAAGTAACTTTAGAATTTCTTTGACTTGTTGAACGCATATTTTACTTTTTTGCAAGGCGTGGAAACTCAGGATTAATCCTGAAAAATCCCAAAAATCCTGAGCCAATAGACATGAAAATGTGAAATACTCTTAAAATCCCGAAATCATTCATTAAATGCATCAGGGTTTTTTCATGTTTATTGAGGGATTTTATTACGATTTTTCAGGATTAATCCTGAGTTTCCACGCCTTGCTTTTTTGTGTATATTCTGAAACTTATTCAGCTTAAAACTGAAACCAAGAAAATATTTTATCCTGAGTCTTTAGAAAAAAACTTAAGCACAAATCCAACCTCATTGGAAAATGTCAATCACATCACTAAGTCAATTTACTGCCATAAAATAATTTTATTTCCTTTCAGAAAACTTCAAATCGAAGCTATTCAATTCAATTTCTATTAAAACATCTAAAATCCTGTAAGGAATAACAAGTACAAACTACATAAATCAGTAAAAACAGAAGCAGTTAATTTTTTCGACTTTTTTATTTTTCTTTTTAATATTTCTCTGCCTTTTGCATTACAATAAAGTTTTTTTTCTGCTGTTAATTTTTTTTTCATTTTTCTTTCTCATTTTTTTTTCTTTTCTTCATTAAATTTCATTTCATTTTTATTTGATTTCTTTTCTATTGTTCATTCTTGATTCTTTAAATTTAAAATAAAGAATATGATGATGAAAAAGAAAGCTTTTAACTTTTATAATAATAAAATAATTAATCGTTTTCACATTTCTTCTTAAGGAATAAGCCAAGAGTGAATTTTGAGTTGTGGAAAAAATATGATTGGATTTTCATTAATTAACTGCGTTATTTGGACTTTTAAAGATTCATTTATGGATTATTGATGATTTGGCAGGTTCGTTAAGTTTTCTACATTCCAAGAAAACTTAGTATTGATTTTGGGAGCATATACTACAATCAAGAGTAAAGGATTAATATATTCAAGCAAGGAAGGAGCTTCAACTGCTCATCTATCATGTTATTAGTTCAGCTCCCACCTAGCCCATTCAAAATAAAGGTTTTGCAATTTTTAAGGTTTTACAAAAAAGTTTCTAGCATTGATTTAACTGATCTTGAACTTCTAAAAATTGGTTGCCGAGCCTGAAAAGAATCAGAATTGCTAAAAAATAGTTTACTCCCTATTGATACGAATCCTCAGGTGGATCTTTTCGTTATCATAAATTTTCCACAACTCGACCATCTTTGCTTCAAATTGTTTTTATTTTATTATATCCGTGCAACAAAATGACCTGCTTAATATTTTTAATCAACAACAATTTTTCCATACTCTCACTTAATATTCACTCAGGACAGAACTTTTCAATCACTTTTCTTTTTTTTTTTTTTGGAAATGACTAAAAAGTCTTGTCTTCATTCTTAATTTACTTTTCATTTTACACTCAATTATTTCGAGTCGATCGAAATGCCTTCGATAACTTTATTGCATGAATAGTTTGTATTGTTTGATTAAAAGAAGTGCAACAAAAAAATCAGGAAGTACTAAACTCGTAATTGGATTTTTTTTTTCAAATGCTTGAATTGTTTCTATTCATTTGAAGGTAGGCATAAAGTTAAAATTCTTCGATGAAATATCTAAAGCCTATCATTGCCATATTTTGTGGATTTTGGATGCATAAGCTTGCACAACATTCAAAGAATTGTCTGTTATTTGGCTGTTCGTAAAGACAATTGCAAATGAATGTTGCCAATGAGATCCAGTGAATATGTTGCATCCTTTATATCAGAATGCCTTTATGCATTCACGTTTGGAATTAGCTCTTTTACGCATTTAACAAAAAGCTTTATCAGGAATAATTGGATATCCACATATTTAAGCTTGTTGGAAGTTTTAAAACCCAATTAATCTCTTTTCAAAAACTTTGGAAGGTTTTAGACTTTTTTGCAATATAATCAGCACGTGCCACGTGGACAGCTTCCTAACAGCGTAATTCAAATGATTCTGCTGGAAGGTTAAAGCTGATGGATAAGCACCAAGAAGGAACAAATAACTTGCTGAATTGATGCATATTTAGGAATTTGGAGCTTTCAAATTATTTTTGATTTAATTATCCACAATTTTGATCAATTTACTATTCTGCAATGAAAAATCTTGAGAATTCCATTTCCTTTTTGAATTTAAAATTTCCTTAACATTTATTAGAGAAGAATAAAAAACAGGAATACAGAAAATTTAATAAAGTTTTGTTTTAAATTGAAAATTTCCTTTCGAATGATTTTGAAAAGCAGGAAGTTTAAGATTTTCATTTTGAGCTAGTTTTGAAAAGAAGTTCAAGAATCTCTTTCATTTATGATTTTCTTAAAATAAAAAGCAATAAGCTTTTCAATGCACACAAAAATTCCAAATAGGTGAATAAGAAGTCTTGATAGACATGAATTTTCATTTCAATTAATTTTATCGATTTATTTTTTTCTTTTTCAACATTTTGGAAGTAAATTAAAGTCAATTTTAAAGGTTCATTGGATATCGAAAACCATTATTTATGCCTTATTATATTCCCAATCCAGTGAAGGAACTGATTGAAAACATAAATAAAGTTGACCTCATTCATATAACATTTGATTTTCATTGATTTTATGAGATATGCGAGGTTGGGAGAAGAATTTCTGATTGTTTCATGTCTCGGATGTATTGAAATGAAGTAGTTAGGATGTGTAGGATAATTGAAAGTATAATGAATCAAATCAGAATAATAAACAATTGCAATAAATGACTTTGTAACGGTTGCATTATGTCTAATTAATAAT